TGGAAGAGCATACATCGGCACCACAAAACGAAGCATAAACACTAGGATCACGGAGCACAAACGAAGTTGCAGATTGGGACAAACGGAAAAATCAGTAGTAGCGGAACACGCACTACTAGACGGCCACCAAATACGCTTCGACGAAGTGGACATTCTGCACCAATCTGAAAGATACTACCCGAGACTCACCAGGGAGGCCATCGAAATATTTAAACACCAAAACAATTTCAACAGAAAAGAAGAAATTACGGCACTCAATCCAGATTGGAAGCGCGTTTTGCGCCAAACAGCATGTGCGCCGAAGCGTTGGAACCCCCACCCATCCCCCACGCATGAGCAGACACGGCTGGGCGGCATAATTGAATGCGGCAAATTGAATTTTTTCAGATACATTTTAACCTGAACATCCAAAACTGTGAAATTACCTTTAAAAGGGCCGATTGATTTACAAGTCTCCAGAAAGAAAGTAAGAATGTCCCAGTGTGCTTGACACCTTTCCTACACGAAATGTGCTTTCTATCTAAAGCATGGAGTCGTGTCATACCAATGAACAAGCAGTTTGCATTACGCCAGTAAAGTGTTAGTTGCAATAGGTTGTAAAATCGGTCCGTGATAATTTTCTGTAGTGTAAAACCCACTATTTGAAAAAAAAATAGACATTTTAATTAATTCGTAACCACAAATCCGCATCAATGATCAAACTACCATTCAATCAACAAAGTAGCGTTCAACAGTAGTGAAAAATTATCACAGAATTCGCGTTTTATTAAATCGCAAAAATGCGTTCCGGTTAAATCCTAATTTATCAATTAAAATTTCAACCAAACAAATACATAAAACTTTCTGCATTAACTGGGCTTTCAATAGAACCTATTTCTCTTTTTCAAACTATAAAACTTTGTTTTCGCGCATTTAGATTGCAACTGAAAACCCGATTTAAAACTATTCTAAATTTTCGAACTTTTAAGCAGATCACTTTAAATGCAAAATGGCGTTTAATTATTATTTTTATTAGCGTTGTCTTGATTGAAATTTTAAAAGGCGAGCAATTCAAGCATAATCGCGGCCAGCATTAATAATCGTGGAAAATATTTTACTTAAGGAGTTAGGGAGTATTACGCTGAGTTAGCAGATCTGAATTAAATCAACCAAGTTACTAAAACTGTCTTCTTCGATCGCTGTAATAAACTCAGCGTATTGTTGATCTACGACCTACAGGCAGACTAGGTCTCCAGTAAAACGAAATTTATTTCCAACATGCGGCCACTGTATTTTCGGATCTCGATAAGGTAAGAACTTTCGTTAATATTTCATTTTTAGCCAAGACAAACTTGGATTTTACTTAACTCTTTCAGGAATATATCTGGTCACATAAATAATTTAGAAAGATATTTTGAGCTTAATTTTGTTGAAATAAGAATTTAACACCTGACTTTCGCTGATAATTTTTATCTCCTTACCCAATGATTTTATGGAAGTTTCAAAAATTCCCATCACTTTATTTGCCTCCACAATCCACTAACTCTATCGTTTATCTCATCTTATCCTGGCTCTCTTCTTTCTGAAAGCACCGGAATTCGTTTCTAAATTGTCCTTAGCCGAGCCTTTCTTTGATATATCTTGACTATTTGTGTGCTTTAAAGTCTTTCTTAGACAGCGGCATCGATTCTGTTTCTGATTACTTACTATGGAAGCCTGCATAATATCACAGGCGGCCCTCCATTCAATCATTGAAAATAATAGAAGGAACGGAATGCTGGATAGTCCTTTTGCTCATATTAATTTTATGCAAATGTTGAATATTTGAATAAGGAAGCTTTGTGAAGATTTATTTAGTTTAATTATGTTATCTAAAATTGAACAAATGCAGAAGCGAGCCGCTTGAATATGATATTTGCAAAATTTAAATTTTAAGGCGCTATTATAATGATTTAACTCACGTCGTATAATCTGTTTTACTGAAATTTTAGAGACAATTTTGAGAACCGAATATTTAAAGCAATTCAATACATTTATTTGAATTATTCAATAACTATTTGGAATGCCTGTTCAAATATGTAACAAAATTGAACATTTTTTCAACCTTTTAAAAATACTCTAAGACCATAAAGCAAAAAGTGAATACATTTTTTCTTGCTTGTGACTAGTATTGCCTAGGTTTTCCCGGAAATGAACAAGTGGCTGAGAAGTTAATGGACCTTAATGTTCATGTTGCAGGAGGGTTTGATAAAGTTGGAAAGCACTTATTCCACTGACTAAACGTAATATTCCGCGTTATTCCAAGCAAGAAATTTTGTTACCAAATGAACAACATACATTAAAGCAAGATCGGTTTGTTGATTGGCTTTTCGCAAGACTTTTTCGATCATATATCAGAGATATCCCGAAATAAGGCCAAATCAAGTAGGTTAAGGGTTATGTATATTTTATAACTCTGAGTTGATTTAACAAACCCATTCGAATTTTATTCTGCACAGTTTTTCATTCAAGTTGACTTGGAAGTCAAGAATTAAATTAAATGCTGCTCAAAAACGTTTTACAACCTTTATATCCTCAAGAACCGGAAATAAACTTTTGAAGCCGATAAACCCAGACAGCAAGCCGAAACCTTTATGTGTATAAAATGTAATAAGTTTAAAATTCTAAATCCGGCCATTATTCACAATGTACGAATTTAGATATATGGGATAAGTTTGAAATATTGTAACGATGCAATTTTGAGGTTTACAGAAAAGTCACCAAAGAAAAGACTCTGTTGACTAGACGAAAATGGTATTTTCCATGTACTTTACTTTGAGTACAAGATGGTATTTGATCTCTGCGAAACTGTCATTCAACCTCATTTATTTAAATGGGCTTTACCTATTCATCCATGATATTTGCGAAAAATTTGAATTTTAACGATAAGAAGCCGTTTTCTCTTGAATAATAACAAAATGTCTA